TCAAATTATATAAAGAAAAGTTACAATTAGAATTTGATTCATTCCAGGTGCTAAGGCTAACAAACATTATTTTCTTTTCCCCAATTGAGAATGAACGAATAAAAATATATATGGACAACAAAAAAGTGCCCATTCACTACTAAAATTTTTGGTTTCAGCAACTAAGCATCAGCAACATGAAATTGCTTGTTGGTGATATGAATTTTCACCAACAAAACCCATATTGCTGATACTTAAATAGTACACATTTTAACAAAAAGTGTTCTTTACTTTTAGCAACATGGTTTTTGTTGCTAAAAATGAATTTCAGCAACAAAGATCATGTTGCTGGAAATTTTATGTTACTGTTCATGACCGGATTTTCCACCAATTTCATTAATTGATCGGCAAAAAGTGTTCTTTACTTTTAACAACATGGTTCTTGTTGCTGAAAATAGTTTTCAGCAACAAGAACCATGTTGCTGAAATTTTTTGGTTACTGTTCATGACCGGATTTTGCACCAATTTCATAAATTAATTAGCAAAAAGTGGTATTTATTTTTAGCAACATGATTCTTGTTGCTGAAACTTTTTGGTTACTGTTCATGACCGGATTTTGCACCAATTTCATAAATGGATTAGCAAAAAGTGGTATTTACTTTTAGCAACATAATTCTTGTTGCTGAAATTTTTTTTTTACTGTTTATGACCGGATTTTTGCACCAATTTCATAAATTAATTACCAAAAGTGGTATTTATTTTTAGCAACATGATTCTTGTTGCTGAAATTTTTTTTGTACTGTTCATGACCGGATTTTGCACCAATTTCATAAATTAATTAGCAAAAAATGGTATTTACTTTTAGCAACATGATTCTTGTTGCTGAAATTTTTTGATTACTGTTCATGACCGGATTTTGCACCAATTTCATAAATTAATTAGCAAAAAGTGGTATTTACTTTTAGCAACATGGTTTTTGTTGCTGAAATTCAATTTCAGCAACAAAAACCATGTTACTGAAAATTTTTGGTTACTATTCATGACCGGATTTCGTTTAAATAGTACACTTTCCCCCCAAAAAGTATTCTTCACTTTCAGCAACATGGACCTTGTTGCTGAAAGTGAATTTTATTATTTTTTAGCTAAATTAGATATTTAAATCATTTAAATAAAGAGTGAATAATATAATTATGTTAAGCAATGTGTTAAATGTTAAGTAATATTTAACAAA